GTATGTTATGTACCAAAATTAATGATTAATGCAACAAGTCATGCTTTTAGGCTTGCCTAAGCTCTGATTTAATAGCATCACAATGTGGCTCACGCATATTCCATGCTGTCACGTTATCTCTGTGTAATGATGAATGAGTGAAAAAAATCTACATGTACTAATGTCTATGACTGCTAATTTATACATACAGTAGAAGGCAATAAAAACTTCGCGTTCCGTTTACGTTGAACGGCGATTAAACTGTAGCGCCGTTTCCGTTTTTATTGTGGTTATTCCGTTCATGGTCCGTTGGGTCTGGGCACTACCGTTTTTGTTTTCATGAGCAACGCTCCAAGCGTTGCTCGACTTTTCTCTTTTCTAACAGTTTCTTCAGGAGTCAGGCTTTCTTAGATACACTTACAGAATGACTACGAGCCATGGTTGATGATAAAACGAGACAGGTAAGTCGTAAACTTAGCGACATGTATTTTATATAATTCACCCACCTTATTCTCATGTTGTATGATTCAATAGGACGACAGGTAGTCACAAGAAAGAGTGCTCTGTCAAGCAAAGAAGCAGCTATTATATTATTATCATTTATAAAATAAAATCATGTAATTATAGACCTGCTAGCCTACCAAGATCAAAATGCATGACGCTTGCATCTTTTATAAATAAAAAAAATTATAATATATATACTACAAGTTTTAGAAAGTAAGAGTACAATAATGATAGAAATATAATAATGATACTGATAACTAATGCTTATCACAATAAATTGAAGTGAATTAGACTACACTGAGCCTGGTGGCCCGTCCTCCAATGACACGAGTACTTCACACCTCGACTTCACACAGCGTCTCCTTGAGTTGAGGTCCACTCTGAACTGATATGACAGTAGTATCTCCAGAGCGGCAGTCAAGAACCAGCATAGTAGTATCTGTGGAGTAAAGAAAACCAAGGAGGCAAGGACAAAACGTTGAGCCAACGTAAAAACGTGCTCCATAGAAAAACGGACCATAAACGGAAGTAAACGTTTTTTATATAGCGTTGAAACGCCCAACGGCCGTTCAACGTAAACGGAACGCGAAGTTTTTATTGGCTTGTACTGTACATATGCTGCAATTGATATTGATTACTCAACCCTGACCCTGGCCTTTTACTTGTATAGGAACTTGTGCCGTTTCAGTACATTGTTTTACTTATTGTTTTAATAGTAAAATATATGAATAACAATTCCTCTTAGTGAAACTTGTGGAATCCATTATTTTATAATTTGGTGAAATTTATCACATCTTGCTTGAAATAAATTTGCTGTTCATTGACATTATTACTTAATGGCACTTCCTTTGTGTCACAGTCACATGCAATTCACCACAACACTTCTCACTTTTCCTAATACTCTTGTCTCCTCTCTGTCTCTCTCTCTCTCATTACAGATGCTCTCATTAGCTCTTG